AACCCGTCCAGAAGACCTATACAATTTTTTTCTTTTTGATTTTTTTACCTGGATTACTGAGATGCGTCAGGACATTTGCTTGTGCTCGTTCTCAGTCGCTGTGTTTCTCTTTGGTTCATAATATTGTCCCACTGCTCCTTAACTCAAGACATTCTCAGTCCCAGTGTTTGTCTCTGATATTGTAATTTCAGTTGTACAGTATGAATATAATGAATAAATGTTTTTAAACTAACATTCAGTTTGAAATGGTCATAATTAAATCTTTGTTGAAATTCAGTTGTGTCGCTGGCGTCGTGTCAACAGACCATCACCACCAGTTAAAAACAACCCTAGAGGAATCCCTGGAGCATGAAGATTGCAGTGGAAGGCTGCTGCCATGGAGAGCTCGACAAAATCTACGAGACGATCAGCTACCTGGAGAAGAAGGAAGGCGTGAAGGTGGACCTGCTTCTCTGCTGTGGAGACTTTCAAGCTGTGCGAAATGAGGCAGACATGGAGTGCATGGCTGTCCCAGCCAAGTACAGGTCCATGCAGACCTTCTACAAGTAACTTCTTTCATTTTRATTTTTCCACGTTTAAAAACAATAAAATAAGAGCTTGCCTAATTTTTGTTTTGTTTTGTTGCAGATATTACTCTGGAGAAAAGATGGCTCCAGTATTAACCATATTTATAGGAGGGAACCACGAGGCTTCCAACCACCTGCAGGAGCTTCCTTATGGAGGCTGGGTGGCCCCTAACATTTATTACTTAGGTGGGAGTTAGGGTTTCACATCTGCCTGCCTGCCTGTCTTATATACCACTAACTTGATCACCTGTCTTTAGGTTATGCTGGTGTTGTTCGCTACAAAGGGATCAGAATCGGTGGATTATCTGGAATCTTCAAGTCACATGATTATAGAAAGGGTAGGTTTGCTGTGATTTGAAATAATTTAAAATATTTGAAGCTATTCTTATTATGTTTAAGGGATCCACAATTCTGTGTAACATTAGACATTATTTGTTAAACATTTACTACAACTGTAAAACAAAGACTAAAAACACAGTAGGCTGTTTAGTTTTTATAAATTAAAACAAAAAGATAGCGCCATTTTATTAACGCCACAAAGCATATCGAGTAAATGTTGATGTTCACTAGGTTTTCAGCTGCAAGGCTGTGGGAGCTCCACCTTAAAGGTTAAAATTTATTTTAGTTTATTTCAAACATGTATACGGAACAAAACAAAAAAATGATGAAAAGTTATAACAAAATTAGCAAAATTAACATATTTGAAAAGGAATGGGAAGAAGTAAAAAAAATTAATCCCACCCTTCTCCGAAACTTATTAACAAAAATAATAGTAAATTCTTATTTTTCCTTAGTCTAAGTCACTATTTCATCAAGACTAATGCTGCGTTCACACCGAACGCGATTTCAGCTTCAAAATCTCATCCAACGCTGAAGATGGTCACTTGTGCACTTTGAGGTCAGACGCAGGTCAGCTSTTGAAGCGSTGCACGGCAGAGCCTCCCCGCCCCTCCCTCCTCTGTCGGGCTCTGTTTAATGTCGGACGAGGAAGTGGCTTTGCTTTATTTACAGAGAGCAAGAGCATGTCAC